GTCCACGCCAGTGGGAGCTAACTTAGCTAAGTCCCTGCCCTCCTTTGTCGGAGTGGTAAACCACTTGTCGCATTGCGCCGACCGGAGGGAGGGACTTACGTCCGAAGTGGACCCCGCGGCCTGACGGCATTAGAAATTTTGGCTGAGGTTTTTTCGGTATTCACTCTCACAACAAACCCTACGATGGAATTTTCCTCTCGTGTCGATTTTCTTGACCGCCTTGGCCATGGCTATCTTCCTGGCTGATCCTGGGCCTCCAACTCAACTGCTGGAGGAGTTATTGATTGGTCTGGGTCTTGGAGGTCATGGAAGATGTGTTATGCACTATGATGAGTTTCTATCATCTTCGACGCTAGTGAGCTGTATGAGACTCGATTTCTATAGTATGTAGTTTCATTCGGAGGAACCCATGAGTTCCTATAACATAATAACAGGAACCCATGATTCCCTATAACACATTGTGAGTGGATTATGTGCGACATGACCCAGAAAGGCCGAGTAGATCTAGTTGCTCGCTCAATCAACCTTAGCCAGCTATCCCTGAACGAATCTTTCGGCCTTCAACGCTATGGATGGAATTGCTGCCGGTGCTCCATATCACTCCAAATTCTCCAATGAAGCTACAGGTCCATTGCCCAGAGCTCCTCGTGTGCCAATGAACAAGAAGCTCAAGATGATATGTGCCTTAATCGACAATCTGAACCTCACACCAAAGTCATTCATCATTGCTTTCCTTGAGCAGGACGACGACAGCATGGCATTCAAACGTCGTTTATGGGCTACCGACCAGGGTTGGGACTCAACCGAGGCCTTGTTGCTTGCAATCAAACACCTCTGTTGCTCCCACGTTGCCGGACGGGCTCTCTGGGAAGAGTTTATCTTATCGCAGGTGAATAATTGCCCGCTCAGCATTCAATTGACTTGGGCACTGGTGGACTTACACATTGATTTAACAGGCAATCGAAATTGTTTCGGCACAGAGACCAGTCAGTGGTATGGCACCTCAGGGCTCATATCACACATCAGCTACTTTGTCAGATGCATTTTTCACCAAGGAAGAACGGGATCATCGGAACACGGCCTTGATAAATCGGATGCCTTTCCTCTACCGCTTGCTTTGTTCAAAACTCCAGGGGAACATGCCTGGAGTTCATGTGGGCTCAGTGGCCCCACAGGATCCAGTTCAGGTGTTGAGGAATACCTCAGGGCTCTGCTGAAATGATCGAGAGTCAGCTAATCACCAATCATCAACGTGTAACATTTGACTTGCCAGATAAACAAAACTGAATGCCCCTCTCTTGATCTTATTGACCGTGTCCATGTTCAAAGTCATCTTGTTCAGGTTTATTGCATTTATGTTGACCAGCTTCTTCTCGCGCACCTGTAATGATAGAAAACAAATTCAGCATCACCTATTGGCCACGATCTTGTAGAGGTCAACTCAACCTGGTCATCACCCAATGAGTCCAAGGGATTCAAAACCAGAACAACCACCTTCTTGTCGAACAGACCAAAATACATTTCCGAAATTCTAGTTTTCCCAAAGCCGGTCCCAACCCGAACGAACGTATGTTTCCCTCGAACGAGTGAGGTGACTGCCTCGACTTGCAGATCCTTGGGCTGGTCACCATACAAGTCAATCGACCGCGTGGTAATGTGTTCGGCTAGCGCAATGTCTGTCATCGATCCTAGGGCCTCGGGAAGCTCATTGGCTTTCGGCCGAAGCAGACTCGTCGGGAGTGCGTCCATCCCAATTAACAGGTCGGCGACTTTGGAAAAAAAACCCTCAGATAATGTTTGAATCAGACGGACAGAGTCCTATTCAGATGACGGCTTTGCGATTGCCGCTCCTATCGCGTTACATGATCCTGTCATTTCAATGTATGACAATTATATGTGACCCGTTATTATGTGTTTTGGGCAACCACAGTATTTTATGCGGAATCTCTTGTACACGAGATGAGGCACCTAGTACAGGAGGCTCACCCAAGCAACCCAAGGGAGATGTAATCATAAAAGTCTCCTTTGACAAGAGCTCAGCGACCTCGCAAGCTCATGAAGGTGAGCGATGGAATCTCCTGGAAATGCCCCTCCGTTTGGTGGGCGACATCTTACTCATTGATTCACCGACGGGGTCACCAAATTGAAGCAAAAAAAAATCCGAAATTTCCTAATTCCCTCAGGCGGGAGGGGCGACTTCGCGCATAAGTCCCTCCTTCGGAGGGTCCCTGCGGGACGGCGTCCCCCCTCCACTGGGAGGGACTTAGTTAAGTTAGCCAGTGGAGGCCTATGCATAAGGCGACAATGCCCGCGTGCTGAGTTTGAGGATTTGGGCTGAAAAATCACTTTTTTGTGTGTTTTCCACTCTCAGCACTCCTCCATTCACATCCATGTAATTTCCTTCCAGGAAAGGGAAAGCCTGCTTCTTGTCCACATTTCCCTGTGTTCAGTTTTTTTGTTATGTTGGCTAACCATTTATAGAAAGTTTTTGAAAAGGTTGAATTTTCCACTCAACTTGGCTTCTTTTGGTGGGCCCAAGTTGAGCAAACCCCGCATTCGAGCTCAAAAAAAGTTGAAACCTTAATTTTAGAAAATCATTATTAATTACAGTTGCAATGTGCAACTTCTGAGTTTTGGCCTGATCAATAAGATCAGGCAGGTCTTTCAGATTTCCAGACCAAACATCCATTAAGTTTTGAGAGAGCGTCGTGATTTCAAATCTTGTGACGCTCCCACCAAAACACTGGAAACTCAGCACCTGAGTTTGTTGACCTCTGGCCCAAGTCTCCTCTGCGGGGAGTTCCCTTCGGGAACCGCCTGGCCAGTGCTACGCTGCCAGATGCACCCCCCGCAGCCGGAGACTTGCGACAAGTTTGTACTCCCAGAGGCTCGACATCCCTCACCTAGAATATGTGGCTACATGCGGATGGAGCTTCAGAGGATCTGTGAAGGTTGTCTCTATTCATGTAAGCCTTTAATGAGACATCATTATGTGTAACCTGAGCAATCAAAAAATGTTGGATTCAAGCCTAGCTCTTATTTCCAAAATCTGTCTGCGGAGATTGCTTGTTAAAACAGTAGCTAAAAGATAATTATTGTTGCATACCCCAGCCACATCAGCCTCAGCAGCCTCAGCTTTGATCTCAGTCACCATGATTGATGCAAAAAATTCTGTGCATCTAACAGGCCACAGGGACTTTCTCTTAGTTAATGAACACTGAATCTCAAAAGTGATTGAATTAATTTTCATTTTGATCCACTATGTTCAAGCCTGGTAACTGAGAGGGTTGAATCACAAGTTTGATTTTAGACATCTCCATCAGCCAGATTCTTCACCTTGGTCTGCAATCAGGTCTCCCAATTCATCAATTAATACACTACTATATTCCCTTCATTCATTTCAACCTCACACTAACAATACTGAAGTTTGAGATTTCAATTGTTCTAAAAAACCTAATTGTTTACTGTGACTATCTTAGTATATCTATGGTTCAATGAAGCTTACTAGTATAGTCTCTATAGTTCAACAATGCCATTTTTTTCAGATGTTCAAATTTTGATTGATTTTTAGTACAGAAGCCCTTTCATGTTTTCATGTGTGGCAGGTGAGTAGAAAATGAATTTGGATAGACACCTGTACAATTCAAACTCTAATGGGAGCCCAATTGAAATTGATCTTATCAGGCTTCAGCGCAAGAAAAACCCCTATAAGAACTATGAAATTTATGGCAAGAATATAGGTACCAGAAGATTGAAGTAGATGATCTGGAACTTTGAAGGGAACAGTGTTGAAAAACTTTCCTTGTCATTTTTTTTTTCTTTGGGCCAAGAAACAAGGTTATTGATGGAGCAGAGGAAACCTTTCTATGTGAGATAGAGCTTGAAATGTTTTGGTATCAGTAAATATATCAACATGACATCATTGTATCTGCTGGATCAAACTCAAGATAAGTGTGTATGAAATGTACAAAATATCTGACTGGAGATGCACATTTCTCACCAAAGCAGCCTGTCTCAACACCTCAAAATATAAACCCAGTAGAAGCTCTAGTATTTCTATCACATTTAAAAATCTTCTTTCCCAGAACCACCCAATTTTTTAATTTAAATAATCAAAGCCAATAAGTCCAAAAATTTAGATCTTTTTACACAACAAATCAAATATGTTTCAAAAAAACTTCCTTGCTTTATTTATAATTTTTGAGGTACTTCAAATCTTCCCATCATTGGCATTACCTTCCAATGAAATCACTAAGGGTGTTTCAGCCAGTGAGTAATTTCCTGCTCAACTAACTGTACCAAAAATTGTGCTAGGATACCATGAGAGACACTGTTTCCAAATGATTGAAAAAGCCACAGAAACCTCCAGAGGTAAGGAAATCAAGTTTATTAATAACAGTTTTGAATCTTATCAAAGGTTCTATGTTCTAAACTTACTCAAAATTCTCCATTTCCCCCAAAACATTATGATAATAAAATGCAACCTGAAACATAGCCGGTTCCAGATCCCAATCAACTTCCATGCAAGTTGAATGTGAGCTAAAAAGCATTGCATTTTTCCATTGATTCAATTTTGGTTTTTTATATGTATCAATTTGAATGAAGTTCTGATACAATGATCCCTGAAATTGGTGTGTTTTTCAACTGATTTTTTTTCTTCTTCTTTTTCCAGCAGTTCAGAGGATGGTCCATCCAGATGGTCAAAACCCAAAAAGGGAACTTACAGAATCTGAAAAAGTAAATCAGGGGCAGAAATCTTTATGTGGATCAATTTTACACTTTGCTTGCACTCCCTTGACTTGTGATTGGTTTGAGGAGAAGTGATTTTCACTATATATAAGTTATAACCTATCACTGTAGAGAGATGATTCACACCCATCTAGATTGTGCCACTGGGTTTATGATTCTATCAATTCAATATCATCTTATTTGTCACTCTCCTCATCCCATTCATATTTTTTGCTGTTATATTTGTTTCTTGGTCCCCTGCCTTTGGTGTTCTTCATTTTATTACAATATCACTCAAATTTCTTCCTCTCACATTATCATTTTAATTTTTACTCAACAGATATGTGAGCCTGGGTCTCTATAGTGACAGCAGGACACAAGTTTTTGGGGGGCACTTTTATATGTATTTCTTATAAGAAGAGGAATACAAATAAAAGTAAGAGGAAAAGAAGAAGAAGAGTGAAAGAAAAGGTAATATTTTTTGTTCTTTATTTATTTTAAGAAGATGATAAAATTCTGGCAGTCTTACTGTCCTTTTTAGGATAGCTTCTGACAGTCTTATTTTCCTTAGTAGGATAGCTGTTATAAGCGGAGCTAACTCTGACGCCTCCAAATCAACAGAAACTGAAATGGGTTATTGACTCTGATAAATAAGGTCAACCACAATTTTTTAGATCAGGGATGATCAAGGTTCCTTAAAGGGAAACCTATGTAGTTTTCAGTTTTACTACCAAACAAGAAAGGAGAAGAATCTTAGAAGCTAGTGGAGCTTTGGTTGATCAGGGCTTTTGGTTTAGAGAAGGAAGAGAAAAAGGTGAGAGTGACAGAGAAAGAAAACAAGCAGAAAGATGCTATCTGGACTTAAAGAAGTAACTTACTGATGACACCAATGACACTGAGTAGTGGGAAAGGCAGGAAAAGTAAGGTTCTTCTGGTTGATAAGTGTAGGCTGGATCTGGTACTGGTTGTTGTGGTTTCTGGGTGGTCTGGAGTCTGAAAATCCTCTGGAAGCGGAATCAACAAGCTCAGAGAGGATTTTCACAGTTGGATTATGTAATCTGGTATGTACATGTGGTAGAGGGAGCGGAAACCTAAGGTTGGAATAATTCTTGGAGTACTGCAAATTGTTACAAAGTCAATGAAGGAATGGAGTTGGGTAAAAGTGATCAGTGGTGACTAGGGTTAATTTTACACCAGGAATCCATTTCTGAAGTCAAAAAGGTTAAAAGTCTTAAGATAAAAAGGATATGATAATATTTTGAGTAGAAATGGGCAGTTTTGGCAGTCTTTTGGCCAGCTTGGTTGGCTCTAAGGCTGACAAGATATCATTCAGATCTCATGTTGACTGGTCCATTGTTTGTCTCATCTATGCCAAAGGGTGTTTTATTCTAAAATGATTGTTTTAGGTGAATTATTCAGCACTATTCAATTCATCAAAGATCATTTATAATTTATAAATATTTGCTCTTTTTTGTGTCTTTATTATTTTTGAATTCAACCAAAGTGCTCTTAGGACTTATGGGTGAAGGGAAAGGGTCCAGGTATCCATATTTGGTCAGAAATAATGGCAGGTATGTACATTCCATCCACCCCTTCTCACTGAGTCAGATACTACATACATGTGAATATACTCATAGATTATCTGTCAGCCTTAGAGATACTCCAGAGTATCCAAAAGACTGCTAAATGAATATTAAGTATTAAAATACTCCACATGTAATATAATATGTAGTAATATTATCTAATAAAACAATATTTCATAAGATTATAAAGGGGGTTGTCCACTGGAAGTATCCCCAAATTCCCACTCCTTCAAGGACTTTGTATATATTCAAACTCTTGAAGGACAAAAGGAATAAAATATATAAATTTACAGAATAAAATTAATGTATATTAAATTAGGGTTAAATATACATTTAGGGTAACCTTAGAAATTTTATTCTACAAGCATAATCAATTTATTAAAACTTGTAGAAAAGAAATTACCACACTATGTCAAGAGTGTGGCACTTTCTACTAGTAGTATTCTATTTAAGGAGACACATGATGTAATTGGCTATAAATATGCATCATGATGTCATGGGACATAGAATACACATTATTTGAAATACCTTGAATTATTCCCATTACATCAGGGGAATAATTCTACCATGGTACACTAAAAGAGAGATTCTAGAATATTCTAAGGAGGGCCTCAAGGGGACCTCTAGAATATTTAAGGAGGCCTTCTCCTGCCTAGGATTGGTTCCTCAGCATATTCACCCCCAACAAACTAAGTGAGTACAGTGAATATTCTCCTCCTACTTTTTAGAGTAGTCTTTTTATCATCCAATCCAACCCTACCTTCTCACTGGAATTATTATTAAGTTGAGAGTTATCCCAGACTCAACACTTAAGTAATTCCTTAAAAAGTAGTTGCTGCAAGACCACCACCTCTGACTGTAGCCTTTCAGCTCAGGTGCTTGCCAGCTACTTCTTGCAATATTAATTATTGCTTCCAAACACTCTACAATAACTTGTTCTGTTATTGTCTCCTACAGTGCTCTCTTGATTATTCAAGTGTCTTTAACTGAGGAGTGTGGACTTTATAACCTCTTAAGTGGGAAGTTTGGACCACTTAATACTTTGAGGGTGACTGGAGTAATCTTGGTCTTTAACCTGAGTCCTTCAGCACAGTGATAGTACTTGGCTTTTATATTATTAAGCCAAAGTTTCATACACATAGCTGACATTATCAGTACCCTGAGGCTCTGCCACATCATTAGAGTACACCTATCTTTTCTCTTTCTGTTTCAGGATACAACTTTGCAAACCCTTGTTTTTTAAAATGCATTTTCAAAATTTTGTCACCTCAATGGTGCATTCTCTCTCAAACATGCCCTTAACAGTACTACTGGATTCTTCTCTTCTTGGCAAGATTGATGCCAAAGTTGAATACATTTAACCATTTAGGCACAAAAAACAATCAAATGTGCAAAAGATTCCAACCACAACACTGGGTAAACCCAAACCAACCAAGAAACAACAAACAATCTGTTGGATTTTCACTTGTACTTGCTCTGTTTCCTTTTTCTTTCACATACATTTCACTCATTTTCAGCTTATTGGTCATGAATTTTGTCTTCTTTCTTATTCATTAGACATCCTCACTGCTTGCACAACTTGATCATTTTGTATCTAGATTAATTAATACCTCTATATACTAAGGAGTGAAACCCTATCTTAGAGATAGTTTGTTGGTACCCTTTGCTAGGTACATGGCACCGCTTTTTGAGTACCACCAGCACCCACTGTGCACCTGCCAGGAGGTGCTGGGTGTGGTGCCAGGTGTCTGTTTTTGGGCAAAGAAACAGGTTGTACCCTGCTACCACGCCACTTCCCTGACATAGTGTGGGGGGGGGCCTGCATATTTTTCAATAAATATGAAAAATGAAAAAATTGACTACACTTTCAACAGTAATTCATATCTGTTGAATTTACGCCCTTTCTCTCTCTGCTCTCTCTGCTCCGCGTATTGTGCCTCCTTTTATTCTCTTTCTTCCTTGTCCTCATTCCTTGTATCTCTCATCCCTTCTCAGAACATATCAAACACATTCCTCAAAAAGACTCCATGTATCATCTCCTTCCAACCGCATCTTGGCCAATATTGGAATTGTATTGACACAATTCTCTCCTCCAACCACACTTTGGCCAACACTGAAATCAGTATAAAAGCAAATCGATCTCCAGCACTCTCATCCCCTTCTCCTCAGCAGCTCTTCATATTTCAACCAATCAATCACAGATCATTCTTCACAAACTCTGCCTCAACTGCTGAGCCTACTCTCCTCAAAACAACTAAAAGCCTTTCCAACATTCCTATACTGACTCTTCCCTTCCAACTTCACTTGGTCTCCTCTGTTACTCTCTACCTTCTCTCTCTCTTCTCTCAAATCAACCAATCTCATCAATCTTGACATTTCAAAATCTATTCAACTCACACGTATTCCCTTCTTATACCTCCAACTCTCTCTGTCAGCGCTCTGACTTGGCTATTGCAAATTTGGTGAGAAACCAACTCGATTTCTTTTGTCTCATTCTCAAAAACTCATTGAAATATCAAATTTTCTTTTTGTTATCATATGCGAGTGCATACTACTTGTCTCTCTTTGATCTTATTCACTTCAATCTGTCTGTTCTGCTTACATAAAGTCTAGCTTGCATTGTGGTATGTTTCTATTTTTTCTGAATTGATCATCAAAAATCATATCTTGTTTTTTTTCTTCTTTATCTAATGTTTTCTTTTTCTATAGTTTTTGTTTTAGTGCCAATTCCATTTCCTTCAATATCTGGTACTAGATATGCAGTAAAAAAAACGGGATATGCACTATTTTTCTTTTTTTTGTTAAAATAGTGCGATGAAGTGAAAAAAACAGTTCCCGCCAGGTGTTACCGGTTTTGGTACTGAAAGAACAATCTCTACCCCATCTGATAAGACCAAAAATTAAGCCTTGACTCAGTCTTATCTCAAAATTTATAATCTCATCACAAAACTGAGTAATGAGACAGTTGATTGGTTTATTTGGAACCATTGAATGTAGTATTTCCAAATAAAATTGCAGTCAAGCAGTTTGGAGGAATTCCTTCTTTGGAAATTCCTGTGAAATCTTGCTGAAAGCAATTCATTCCCTCTAGAAGAGAAGAGAAACAGAGGTATAGATGGCTTAAGGTACCTGGGTACCTGTTGGCAGTTCCCTGAAGCCATTTCTGTTGTGCAAAGTGTTATCTCTAAATGGAGGGAAAGTATGCTAGAAATTATCTGAGTATCACTTCTGTGGCCTGCCCTAAGCTACTGCATCTTCAGCCTTGATCTCATACACCATGGTCTGCCTGGAAAAATATGTTCCTCTAAAAATGCTTTACATTAGTATTAAATGAACACTCAATGATTGCAATGAGTTTAATTTCAATTCACTATATTATTAGAAAGACTTTAGAAGATGTAATCACTAATTTTAATTTTAATTTTCCATCAACAAGATACTTCACCAGGGTCAATCATCTCAGTCCAAATATTCAACCAAGGTGTGAATCTTCTTGCTTCATTGGTTTACCTGTCAAGCTCATTACTGAAGCTTGAAATTTATTAATCCAAACAATTTTTTTGTTCAAACTACTTTGAATTCTTCCCTTTCTTCTTGTAAAAATGTTGAAACAGCTTCATCATGGCCAGCTAATTATTTTTCTGCTTGATCAAGGAAGATCAATTTTCCAGATATTTAAAATTTGATTGTAGTACAGAGGCTCTTTCATTTTTTCATGTGTTTCAGTTGAGCAGAGAAAGGCTTTCAAAGTTGGGTAGACACATGTAAATTTTCAACTGAAATGAGAAACCAATTGAATCTTAATTATCTTATCAGGGTTCAGGGCAAGAATAAAATTTGAAACCCAAGATAAGGGTAAAATCTGTTGCAAGAATGTACAGTTGCAGACAGCAAAAATTGAACCCGGATTGGGAGAGTTTCCCATTTTTTTTAGGTGAAAAATCAGATTTTTTCAATTTGCAAGGTTTTGGAGACCATTTGAGCTGACAAAATGACACAATTTTACCTTGCAGCATTGATTAAGCTCTCAAACTAGATGCTCCAGGGACTTGAGGGACCTCCTAGAGTTATAGGACCATGAATAAGGCTCACTTAAACCTTAGTTTGATTATGGCTTTTAGGAGGCATGAGGGGGTTTCAAAGCTGATTCTACACAACATCATCAAGATAACAGAATTTTTGGGAAAAGTTCCAAAAAAAAGAGAAGCCAGAAGTTTCAGAAAACTGGAATTTTGAACCTCTAGACCTTGTGACTTCATGTAGAGTCCTGTTTGAAAATTAACTTTGAATCCCAATATAACATGCATGTCAGACAAATAAAAAAAAGACCTGCTGGGGTGAAAGCTTAGCGGTATAATGTTGAACTCTACACATCTGTAGGAGTTCAAAACTTAAATAAAAATGAATATTGGGGCATATTACCCCTGGACATAGGCCCCGTGTTTCAATTCTGGATTTTGACAGCGGGACATGGTTGGTTTTTGCCATTTGTGACTGTAGTATTAGATGCCAAAATATTTTAGTACATGATCTGGAACTGTGGTGGGCACAGTATTGAAAAATTCTAAATTATTTATTAGGGATAAGAAATGGGTTTATTGATGGGAATATCTAAACTTTATTTGTGAGAGAGGCTTGAAAAGTTTTGTTATCAGTACATATTTAAAAATTTCATCATTGTATCTGATGAATTGAAACCAAGATAAGCATGTATGAAATTGACAGAAAACTTGAACGTTGAACTTGAGGCTTGTCAAGAACAAGAAGAAGTCTCAACACTTTCAATAGAGGTAATATACGGGCGCTTGAAGATTTCAGGTATTCAGTATGAAATGATCGTGTCATAACATTTGCAGAGTCAAAATTCAGATGAGGTTGCAGGAAATCTACAAAATACTTGATGATACTGGCTGCTCCTCCGGTGAGGTTCCCAATAACTGGTGGACTCTCAGCAACAGATACTCCACATCTAAACACTTTCGTAGAGGGGAATTGGTATGTGCCCAAGCTTTATCGTATCTGTCCGTAGGATCACTTATTTTAAGATCTCTCAACATATAAACCCGCCTAGATTCAGCCTCTCCTTTAAATTCCAAAACATTCCTTCCCAGTGGCAGAACCTCCCAATAACTCTTCTCAAGTGATCAAATTCATCAAGCTCTAAATCAAGACCTTTTCGAGTCAGAAATCAGATATGTTTAGAAAGAACCTTCTTAGTTTATTTCTAATCTTTGGGATCCTGGAAGTTTTTCCATCATTGGCGTTGCCTAATGAAGGAGTTACTCGGCCCCTTCTAATCAGTGAGTACTTTCCTGCTAAATTGACCCAACCAAAAACTTACAATGATATTGATGGGGCAATTTCTTCTGAACTACTTGAAAAAGAGGAAGAGAGTTCCACTGGTAAGCAACAAAAATCTGCTCATAATTATCACTCATTGTATTCAAGGCTTACTTGAAAACATAATTGTTTCAATCACCTTAACGACTGGAATATAAAAGGCAAAGCAGCTGGTCAGAAAGCTCAATCGGCCGGGGAAGCTGACTCGAATAGTGAGTTTTAAATCTTAAATGATGTCTACGCTGTATAATTTAGACTAAGCTCCAATTCAATAAGCGAGATTTTTGGAGCCCGAATAATTTCAATTTGTCTCCTGTTTCCAGAAGCTCAGAGGGCGGCTAAATCAGGTGAAAAAGAAAACAAAGATAAATCAACTGGAGGATCAGGCAGAGGAAGTACTCGCTTCTGGCCATCTGTGGAATATTAGATGATCACAACACTTTGAGTTAATTTTCATCATAGCAATCATAATGATTTAAATTGTTTCAATTCTGTTCTCCTATGCACACATCCCTCATTACACTCTACTCTCTCGTGAAGATTAAGACTGTAGTTCAACTGGACTATTGTCATTAGGAATATTTTTTCACAATCTCACATCACAATTGCAGACTTGTTTCCCTGTCTCAGTAGCTCCTATCTTTGACTCAATCTCCAAATATGACTTTTAAATTTTCCATAACTTCTGTGGTTTGGCATTTTATGACAACAAAATCTTGCCACACCTGTAGTGTCTTTGATCCTGATTAGTAGATAAATTGACTCAAATCAATATATTCTAACTGTGAAACCTCATTGTACAACTTGGTGAAGATTTTTGTTCAATATCAGTTTTAACAGATGTTTCTTTTCCACATTTTGACCAAGATTGTACATATTCTATTTAAAATAAAGTATGATCAATTGAGGTTCTCCACTTTTCCCTTTCTTGATCCAGTCCAGCAGAGAGATCTACCATCATTCCAACATGAGCACACACATAATCTCATGCATAAGGATCCTTTTGCAAGATTTTGTCCAAATTCTATGAGGATAATCTGATTACCTTCTTCACAGTTCTGATTGACACAGTGTTTCTATGTGTCTTTCTCTGTGGGATTTTTCAAGTCTTAGGACTGTGATAGAGTCTACTCACAACCACCATTTCATCTTCAGCCTGGACCATTGTATTGGTCAGCTGAACAAACCATTGTTGTGACTTTTTATCCAAATCAGTCCCACATTCTGTCATGCTGAGCTGGTCTCCTTGCACTGTGAAGCTTGCCCAGGCTTAACCAATCCTCTTGTGGTGCGAGTGACATGTGGCAGGTCTGGATTTCAGTCAGCTGAGAATAATTCTGTTTCAACTTCAATCCAGGAAGATTATTCTTCAGAAATTTAAATGTATATTTTTTCAGTACACAAACTCTTTTTCATACATATCAGTTCAGCACAAAAATCATTGAACATAGATTTCAATGAAAACTGTGATAAAAATCAGGGATAGTTAAACCAAATTGAAAAGCTGGAAATTTTGTCTCATTCTCAAAAACTCATCAAAATATTAACTCTTCTTTTTGTTATCATATGCTAGTGCATACTACTTGTCTCTCTTTGATCTTATTTACTTCAATCTGTCTATTCTGCTTTGTATAAAGCCTAACTTGAATCAGGGTATGTTTCTATTTTTTCTGACTTGATCATCAAAAATAATATCTTGTTTTTTTCTTCTTTATCTGATGTGTCCTTTTTTTTATACTTTTGTTTTTACTTTCAATTCTATTTCCTGTTTTTCATTAATATCCGGTACTAGATATGCAGTAAAGAAAACTGGATATGCAGTTTTTTCCTTTTTTTTGTTGATAGTGTGACGAAGTGAGAAAAACAGTACCCACCAGGTGTTTCCGGGTTTGGTTCTGAAAGAAAAATCTCTACCCCATCTAATAAGACCAACAATTAAGCCTTGGCTCAGTCTTATCTCAATATTTATAATCTCATCACAAAACCGAGTAATGATACAGTTCATCGGGGTTATTTGGAACCATTGAATCTAGTATTTCCAAATAAAATTGCAGTCAAGCAGTTTGGAGGAATTCCTTCTTTGTAAATTCCTGTGAAATTTTGCTGCAAGCCATTTATTCCCTCTAGAAAAGGAGAAACAGAGGTATAGATGGCTTAAGGTACTTTTTGGCAGTTCTCTGAAGCCATTGCTGTTGTGAAAATTTTCATCTCTAAATGTAGGGAAAGTCTGCTTGAGATTCTCTGAGTATCACTTCTGCCCTATGCTACTGCATCTTCAGCCTTGATCTCAGACACCATGGTCTGCCTGGAAAAATAAGTTCCTCTAAAAAATACTTTACATTAGTGAATGAACACTCAATAATTTCAATGAGTTTAATTTCAATTCACTATATTATTAGAAACACTTTGGAAGATGTAATCACTAATTTTAATTTTAATTTTCCATCAACCAGATACTTCACCAGGGTCAATCATTCCAGTCCAAATATTCAACCAAGGTGTAAACCTTCTCTCTTCATTGGTTTACCTGTCAAACCATTACTGAAGCTTGAAATTTATTGATCCAAACAATTTTTTGTTCAAACTAATTTGAATTCTTCCCTTTCTTTGTGTAAAAATGTTGAAACAGCTTCATCCTGGTCAGCTGATTATTTTTCCGCTTGATCAAGGAAGATCAATTTTCCAGATATTTAAAATTTGATTGGTTTGTAGTACAGAGGCTCTTTTATTTTTTCATGTTTTTCAGTTGAGCAGAGAAAGGCTTTCAAATTTTGGTAGACACCTGTAAATTTTCAACTGAAATGAGAAACCAATTGAATCTTAATTATCTTATAAGGGTTCAGGCCAAGAATGAAAGTTAAAACCCAAGATGAAACTAAAATATATTACAAGAATTTAATTTTCCAGACATCAAAAACCAAACCTGGATTTGCCGAGTTCCCCATTTTTTTGGGTGAAAAATCAGTTTTTTTGTATTTGCAGGGTTTTTTAGCCCATTTGAGCCAACAAAATGAAAAAATTACCTTTCAGAATTGATTAAGCGCTCAAAATAGATGCTACAGGGACTTTAGGGACCTCCTAGAGTTATAAAACCATGAATAAGTCTCACTTAAACCCATAGTTATTGGTTTGAGTATGGCTTTTGGCAGGTAATAGGGGGTTTCAAAGTTGGTTTTTAAACAAAATTCTACACAATATCATCAAGATAACAAAAACTTTCAAGAATTTTTCCAACCAAAGAGGAACCATAAGTTTCAGAAAACTGAAACTTTGAACCTCTAGAGCTTGTGACTTCATGTACAGTCCTGTTTAAAAATCAACTTTGAATCCCAATATTACATGCATGTCAGACAAAAAAAAAGAAATGCTGGGGTGAAAGCTTAGCAGTTATAATGTTGAACTCTACACATCTGTAGGAGTTCAAAGCTTAAATAAAAGTGAGTATTGGGGCATATTACCCCTGGACATAGGCCCCGTGTTTCAATTCTGGATTTTGTGAGCGGGGAATGGTTGGTTTTTGCAATCTGAAACTGTAGTAATAGATGCCAAAATATTTTAATACATGATCTGTAAAATTGGGGGGCACAGTATTGAAACATTTCAAATCATTTATTTGAGATAAGAAATGGGTTTATTGAAGGAAATATTCAAACTTTATCTGTGAGAGAGGCTTGAAAAGTTTTGTTATCAGTACATATTTCAACATTTCATCATTGTATCTGATGAATAGAAAGCAAGATAAGCATGTATGAAATTGACAGAATACTTTAACCTTGAGGCTTTTCAAGAACCAGATAAAGTTTCAACACTTTCATAGAGGTAATATACCCCAGAGCCTCTATAAAGCCAAGGTCAATTGGGGTGAAATCCCACAACATATAAACCAGTAAAGCTTTAGCATATCCCTCAGATTTGAAAAATTTCCTTTCACTGCACAAAGCCACCCAAAAATATACCTGAAATAGCCAAACATAATAAGGAAATAAAGCTATATCTTGTTCAAAAACAATTGGAAATGTTTCAAAAAAACTTTCTTACTTTATTTCTTATTTTTGGGTTACTAGAAGTTTTGCCATCATTGGCATTACCTTGCAATGAAATCACTGAGTATGTTGAAACTGGTGAGTACTTTTATCCTGGGGTAAACCTTACCAAGATTTGTACAAGTAAACTGATGCAGTGAAATGTGTCAAAACTGTTTAAAAAGCTGCAGAAACCTCTAAAGGTAAGTGAATAGATTTTAGTCATAACTATTCCTAACTTTGTCAAGTATTCTACATCTTAGACTTAATAAATTATCATGATGATAACATACAACCCAAAAATTAGGTGGTGCGGGAAATAAATCAACTACCACTCAGACTAGACCTGTTAGTGAGTTAAAAATCATCCCATGGACCCATTACCCCATTTATTCCCACTCAAATCTTACCTGTTGATGGATGAATCTGATGCAAATACAAAAATGGGTGTACATCTACCAATTTCAAATGATCTGTTACCAGAACCTCAGAGGATGATGGCTCAACCAGAGGCTAAACCATCAAGAGCATCACAGAGCGGTGAAAAGGAAGCTAAAGAATCAACCGAATACCCATCTTTTGTCTCTATGTATGCTCCATGCTGTGAATAAATTGGAAAATATAGAAACTGTTGATTCAAATAGATAATCCCCACACATCCAGCTTGTGTCATTTAATTTTGAATCTATTCAAGGTTGATCTCATCTATTTTCCTACTCTTATTTTCTTAGTTTCTTGGTTTGGTTTCCTTTTCCTTATTGAGCTCATCATGATATTCCTCAGAGGCCAAGGTGGCTTTGCTGCTGCCAACCATTAGCTTCACCCCAAGTATCACAATATATGTTGTTTACACATGTGCCTGTTGGGTGAATTATCCACATCAAACTATGCTCATATCATACATTCCATATCAATTAGGGTCCTCAAAACTGAAAAAACATGAAATCAATATAGCAACATACCCATGACAACATAAAAATAAATTTGGGGGAAAACATGCAGATTACTCAAGCAGGTCTTCCCAAAACTTCCAGTAAAGTTGGGGTCAACTCAACCAATTTAATATTGGTAGGATTACAACCAAAATCTATTTAGGTTCCATTGGTTGAAATGCAACCAGCTAAACTGGGATCAACTTAACCTAGCGAATATGCTGGCAGTTCAAATGCTTGCAAAGAAGGTTCTCTGTGGCCATGTGTGTGCTTCTATGATTTCATGTTGTCTAAACTTTGAGCTCCCTCCTCAACTGAAGCTTCTGACATCTACCTGTGCCTGTGTCAAGGGAGTCAGGAATTGGGCCAAGGTGCAGTATGTAGGGTTGAAGGCGCCAGTGTGTGCACCCAACTTTTTGTGGAGGGAAATTGCAAAATTTCTGATTTTGCCTGGGCACCCCAAAGTGCACGCACTGGCGCCATCAGCCCTAGCAACTTGATCAGTCCATCACTTCAGGAAAGAACACCTGATTAAGTAAACTGTGACAAGCCTTTCCCAACAGGTGGTTGAGGAGCAAAACAATCAATAAAAGCATATGCCAATATAGAGATAACATATGTAAAAAATGGATTGATCCATAATCAAATCAAACACCACAGGCATTGTTTTCAAACTATGGGAAAGAAAACAGAATTGCAGTATGTATGTGAGTCATGGCAGATAGACATCAACTATCATTCATAGAATTAGATGAGAGGTGCCACAGTATCTGATGGAAAAAGATAAGTAATAAGGGGGCATAAGCATCACAGATTGTGATGGAAGATGATGGGAACAAAATATGAGTGGAGAAGTTTGCTAGGATTCTGACACACCCCGTGCAAACATATGATGAAGGTAGTTAGATGTTGAGAGTTAGGGATCGTGATGGGCAATCAGATCAATTGCTGAGTTTTGAAGAAGATCAAACTTGGAATAAAGCAACTGGCTATAAAGGGCAACTCAGATATTTGAAGTGAGAAGGACACTTAGGAACACACTTGATGGAGCACCCCAACAAATTATCCATTGCAACTAAATGAAACATGTTGATTTAGAAGATGCATGTAACGATAGAGAAAAACATAAGCCAAAGCACCACATGCTGTTCCGCAGTGCAACATTATTCAAACAATGAAAAGAATCATGAGGAAAGAAAAGAAATCTATTCAGGTGTCTGAGATGACATATCACGTGACCACCGATGTTGTAATCGAGAAGAATGGGGAAGTGACCAAGGTGTGAGACGAAGATACCATAAACAAATTAAAGAAGAAAACCGCGTAGACATCAGAAAGTTTTAGGTTTTCCACAAAAAACAAGAGATGATGTTTGCCTGCCAAGACCGTTGTCTAGTCACCCCATCTAATCTGCAAATACTGATATTCACCACATCCTTGGCCAAACTGAACACCTTCTTCTTTGCTGTATTTTGCTATTTTCAATGGCCTAGTATTCGTAGGGTGAGTGACCTTCTCCAAGTGGACGTTGCTCGACAATTCCCATTTACAACTATGGATCGGTAGTGTGCTGGAAACTTGATCGGTTTGGTCCAGTAGCAGGTTCATATCGGAACCTCCAAATACTTGATGCACCGCTTCGGATTCCTTTGTGAAAGTGGGTCGAAGCGGTAGCAAGAGATGGAACGACGGCTGGGATTCTATCCAAGAAAATTTTCCCCCAGGAAGGTTCGAGTCCCTTTCCGGTTCCAGATCTTCGAGCTTCTTGGGCTCCGATTTTAAGAAGTAGCGCACCGCGTTTGAGGCCCAAACTGCGTGTTCAGGTTCATATACGAGGTCGCTCCCTAACACCACGTCGAACGCCCCGGTGAGTCCAATGTGAGCCAATTCCGAGCTTTCGGGCTCTCTCCAATCGAGTTTCATCACTTTGACACTCAAGGTGGAGGGACAACCTTTTGGAAGATTGTGTCTGGATCTATTCAATTCGAGATTATGCTGTAGATTATTCAGAACCTCCGGATGATAATCAGTCAAGATGACTTCGACATCAGTGGGTTCGATGGAAGAGAGTGAAGAAGATAGAATGGAGGCCAGAATCTGACTTGAAGTAAGGCCGACCAACCCAGTCCCCGAACCCAGTTCCAGAACTTTCAGCGATCTCTTCACCCCTACGATGTTGGTCGAAGCAGGGTTGATTGGACAATTTTCGACGCCATTAGAACGTAGCTGAGGAAAAAAATTGAATGGCTCCCGACTCAAACGACGACACAGCAAAGGAGCGGAGTTCCACGTTTGGGAACCTATGGCTGAAAAGGATAGACTGCCCTCTCGGATTTGTATTTCGATCGGAACCTTGACGCCTGTCGAGTTCGGAGTGGCCAATGCTTCGGAACCGGTCTCCTCAACCAAGAGATCAAATTGATAGCGTCGCAAAAAGCTCTGGGCAGGACAATCTATCAGAGGAGGGTAGATGTACACGTGATAGAAACAAGATCAATGTTCAGGTCGAGATTGTATGACATCAGATCCGAGTTGAATGTATCACCCACCAGGGCTTCCGGTCATCTGGGCCACAACCTGACCGACCAACGAGGATAGAGATTCCCAATCGTGATCGTCATCGGTGACGGTTGAGGCTTGACGGATGGCAAACGAGAGCAGTCGGGTTAGCCAATTCAGCCCGAACGACTTCTCCCATGGATCAATCTCATTGGCCTCATCAGACTCAGAGTCAATCTCGGTTGATGAAGGTGAGGAACGATTGGAGCTGATCGCGTGAATCTCTCGCGCGGCTGACCAGAGTGATTCGTAGGAGCTCTCGGCGAAGACCGGGTTAAGCCACGTCGAGAAACAACGCCGGTCCTGTATCAGTACGCGTAAAGTGAGACTCAAGAAAGCATTGAAAGCATAGAAGTAGGATAGAGTTCACTCACAACTGCTGTTTCATCTCCCGCCTGGACCATCGTATTGGGCAGCTGAACAAACGGTTGTCTCTGTCGGCCTTGGCTTCTTCCGACATCTGTGGAGCCTCGCGAGTCGCAGGCCGCCTTGGGCTGCGGACTACGCACGCCAAGTGACTTTTCGAGCACCAGATGATACATACTTCTCATCACCTCGACTTATCACCAGCGCCCCAGGTGCTACATAGTATCAGTGTGCAGTAAGAGTACGTCTGTGTGGAACGTGCGCTTATCGACCAACGGCGAGCTTAAATGAGTTAAGAAAAGGTAATATTCTTATCTCCTTTAAAGTTGTCATGATACATACAATTTACAAATGAGAATCCCCCTGCTAAGTTGCTTTCGAAGAGTTCTTTCTTAGTCGAATTCATCGGTCTATCCGGTGAGTCAGGTTTTGAGTTAACCTCAATACATGCGCATACACAGCAGCTGGTAGACATTTGGGGGTAACAAGCAGTGGAAACATTTTGCCCTGTTTGTCCGCTCCATGGCGTCACCGATTTAGAAAGTTGAAAAGCAAAGCCTGATCAAGACTCAGAGGACAGAGTTACAAGGGTGCTGTGCCAAAGTGACACATTAATTACCACAGACACAAATCTGGCCACCTTGAAGGTAAATAGAACAAAAGTAATTCTAGTAAGCTGTTGGCTTCCCCTCTGGAGGTAAAAAAAACTTGTGTCTGCAGGGACGATTTTATCTGCTCTTCGGGCCGGGTAAATCGTCCCCATGGGCAAATAAGTGTCCTTTCAGCCCCCCATCCGCCACAGCCAAAGCTCTGGTCTCTCTGAGCTTTTCTGTGGCTCGAGCAGGCCAAGTCTCGAAGGGAAGAGTAATGTTTTTCTTCAAGGCAGCTGAGCAGGTGGCGTCACTCGAAGATGTAAATTTGCATCGACGAGACGCTTCACCCAGGTCAACCCAAGTCGTCAACCACTATCCAACCACTCCCCCTTCATTGATGTCCAACTATGACCGATTGTGGGGAATTTTGACTTGTCCGTGTCGTTCTCGCTTGTATGTAAGTCTTACGCAGCTAGACATCTTCATTCCCGTCAGTTGAATATTTACACCCAAACTTCCACCAAAAAAGACTTACTCGGATGTGATTTTTTTTCGTACTGCAGCTGTTTCATTCGTTAAAGTTAAACGGATTGAAAATCAATTTTAATGAAACAGTTGGTTGAAATCCGTAACATTTAGACCAAGATCGGTAACTTGAATTTCATTTGAGTAAATTGTGACAATGCCCCGCAAACGGAACCAAGGCTTATCAGCATAGGGACCACACACGTTTATGACTCCGTGATCTGGACCTTTGGAGAGCATGGTATTCACACAATTTCCTTGTCAGACTTTTCTTGGTGCTACATTATGGATTTTTGGGCGGCAGAGTTATTACTTGTATGCAAAAGATCGCTTGGAGATTTCAGGTATTCTGTATGAAATGAACGTGTCATGATCAAAATTCAGGTGAGGGTGCGGGAAGCCTACAAAACACTTGATGATACTGGCTGCTCCGCCGGTGAGGTTCCCCGATAGCTGGCGGACTCTCATGAGCGACGGATACTCCACATCTCAACACTTTCGTAGACTAGAGGGGACGCGGAATCGGTATGCGCCCAAGCATTATCGGATCTGTCCGTAGGATCTCTTATTTTAAGATCTCCCAACATATAAACCCGCCAAGATTCAGCCTCTCCTCGAAATCTCAAGACATTTCTTCCCAGCGGCAGAACCTCCCAATAACTCTTCTCAAGTGATCAAAGTCATCAAGCTCTAAATCAAGACCTTTTCGAGTTCAAAATCAGATATGTTTGGAAAGAACCTTCTCACTTTATTTCTAATCTTCGGGATCCTGGAAGTTTTTCCAACATTGGCGTTGCCTAATGAAGGAGTTACTCGGCCCCTTCTAATCAGTGGGTACTTTCCTGCTAAATTGACCCAACCAAAAAACTTACAATGAGAGTGATGGGGCCATTTCTTCTGAACTGCTTGAAAAAGAGGAAGAGAGTTCCACCGGTAAGCAACAAAAAACTGCTCATAATTATCGCTAGTTGTATTCAAGGCTTACTTAAAAATATAATTGTTCCAATCACCTTAATGACTGTAATATTAAAGCTAAAGCAGCCGGTCAGAAAGCTCAATCGGCGGGAGAAGCTGACTCGAATAGTGAGTTTGAAATCCTCACTGATTTCTACGCTGTATAATTCAGACTCAGCTCCAATTCAATCAGAGAGATTTGCGGAGTTCCACTAATTTTGATTTGTCTCCTGTTTCAAGAAGCTCAGAGGGCGGCTAAATCGGGTGAAAAAGAAAGCAAAGATAAATCAACTGGAGGGTCAGACCAAGGAAAGACTAGTTACTTTGGCCAAGGCCATGTGCATATGATGTGATCACAACACTTTGAGTTGATTTTCATCATATGAATCATAATGATTTAAATTGTTATAGTTCTGTTCTCCTGTGCACCCATCCCTCAATACACTCTACTCTCTCATGAAGCTTGAGACTGCAGTTCAACTGGATTGTTTTCTCCAGGAAGATTTTCTTCACAATCTTACATCACAATTGCAGACTTGGTTCCCTGTCTCAGTAGCTGCTATCTTTGACTCAATCTCCAAATCCGGCTTTTACATTTTCCATCACCTTTTCTTGGTCATGCTGCTAGATATTCATGTGGTCTGGCATTTTATGACAACAAAATCTTGCCATACCTCAAGTGTCTTTGATACTGATTAGTAGTTCTACCTGTGAAACCTCATTGTAGAACTTGGTGATGATTTTTGTTCAATATAAGTTTTGCCAACTTTTTCTTTTCCCAATTTTTACCAAGATTGTACGTACTCTATTCAAAATAAAGTATGATGAATCACTGGTTCTCCATTTTTCCCTTTCTTGATCCAGTACAGCAGAGAGATCTACCATTATTCAAAAGTGAATAAACACATATTCTCATACATAAGGATCATTTTGCAACATTTTGTCCAAATTTTATGAAGATAATCTGGTGATCTTCTTCACTGTTCTGATCTACACAGTGAGGTTTTTCTATGTGCCTGTCTCTGTGGGGTTTTTTAAGTCTTAGGACTGTGATAGAGTACCACCATTTCATCTTCAGCCTGGACCATTACATTGGGCAGCTGAACAAACAGTTGTTGTGACCTTTTATCAAAATCAGTCCCACCGTCTGTCATGCTGGGCAGGTCTGGTTGCACTGTGAAGCTTTCCTGGGCTTAACCAATCCTCTTGTGGTGTGAGTGACATGTGGCCGGTCTGGGAGGCATCCCAGCCTCACCAGTGAGGCTTAAAAATTAGCAGGGTCAACAATAGCATTTTTGAATTCTTGCACCCCTTGATTTTTTGACTTGCTTGCACCTTGCTTGCTCAAGTGAATTGTAGAGCTGAAATTACAAACTTTTGGGTCAAATTTTAAGCCCGCAGGAGTGCTGCGGCTTCTTGCAGTAAACATGAAAAGTTCTTACAAGAAGCTATTGGGAACCTTGCTATTAAAACTGAAATCTGGCCTAAGAAAGCTGAGATTGGACAGCCATTTGTAACACTTTCTCCTCTGAATTCTGCATTTCTCCACTCAAAAATCAGGTGCGCTTCTCTTGTTTTTCTCTGTCAAATTTTCAATTTCATGAATTTTGCTTCTCCATCCAAAACTTTTTGGTCAAGTAAAATATGAGAAAACATATAATTTGATTTTGGGGATTAATAAATGTACCCCCCTTTTCTGCTATCCACACCCGGTTTTTCACACCTGGTTTTCCCCAGCCTTTTTAATTCATTTTTTGGAAATTCTGAATATTCTAAAAATCTTCTAAAATTGATCATTCTTTTTGGGTATATAAAAAATCCTCAAAAGAGAAATTTTAATTTATCTGATTCATCAAGTTTTTTTTTTCTGCCTATGAGTTTTTGAGAATTCAAAGTACACTTAAATTTATCATTGATATTGCCCAATCTTTGGGAAATCTATAAAGGACCAAATTTAATTTCATTTTGGAAATCCCAATGTTGTTGGTTCTGACCTATAAGCAAATGGACAAAATAAGGAATATCTTGAATGGTGCCATCTGTATGGAGAAGAAAAATTAAGAAATTGACATTTAAAAATAATTTTTGGCTTTAATTCAAGTTTTCAAGAGCTCACAGGGTCAAAAAAAATAGGGAAAAAATGGGTGAGAAAAATAAAAAAAATTGAAGTTCTCTTTTGAGGATTTTTTATATACCCAAAAAGAATGATCAATTTTAGAAGATTTTTAGAATATTCATAATTTCAAAAAATGAATCACAAAGGCTGGGAAAAACCGGGTGTAGAAGCAGAAAACCAGGTGTGAAAAACCGGGTGTGGATAGCAAAAAAGGGGAGTACGTTTATTAATCCCCTTGATTTTTCAGAAATACAATATGCTTATAGAGAGAGTGCATTCAAGTGTCTGCCAAATTTTCAAATCAAATTTAATAATAATGGAATTTGCTGTTATCTTTTTTCCAACTAGAAGCAAACAAGAATTTGTGATAAAAAAACCACCATTATCGAGTGTTGGTAAAAACAAGATTTCCATCAATGAAAACTTGCATCCTACTCACACAATAAATGGGAGCCTCATTCAAAGGCTCTTCAGGTCTCCACAGATTTTGGAGGCTCTGCAGGGCTGTGTAATACTTGCACCCCCAACTCACCAGTGAAGTGACCAGTAAAATAGAGAGATCCTCCAATCTCAGCTATTTATTGGGTGGATAAAGCATTAAGGTTCTTATCACCAGCTCCACACCAAGATGATATTGTTATTATAGAAGTTGATTGTGATGACCATAGATTTATATTTACTCTCACATTCCCTTGATTGAATTTAAACTATCCCTGATTGTGGGGAACTTTCACTTTTAAATTTATCATAAACTTGTGTGTGTATGTACTTTGACTTATGCCTATTCCACATGTACACAGTAAAAACAGCTTCATTCCAGTCAGCTGAAAATTTATGTGTTTCAACTTTAATCAAGGAAAATCATCCTTCAGAAATTTAGAATGTATGTATCTTTTTTCAAATCCACAATCTCTTTTTTCATGTATAACAGTTCAGCACAAAAAGGATTGAAGATAGGTTTCAATGAAACCAGTTGTTAAAAATCAGTAATATTCAAACTAAACTGGAAACTTTGAAATTGATTTGAGTGGGATTCAGGTTAGAAAAATTTAAAAATTGCCCTTGCAAAAGAAATCATGAAAATTGGCAACATGAATGTCTCAAGGCTGCAGTATTGAAACACTTTACTTGCCAAACTTTCCTTTTTGATAGTGGTTTTATTTAGCCCCACAGCTCAGATGAATATAGTTATGCAAAAAAGCTCTTGGAGAGCTTTGATATTGAGTGCAATGTGTTTGTTTCATGACATTTGACATTGCAGAGTCAAATTCCAGACAAGTGTGCAAAATAGTTTATAATCCAGGCTGCTCCATTGGTGAGACCATCTCCACCGCAAGTTGCTATCCGAGCTGCCAAATCTGAAAGTTTGGCAACTGCGGCGCATTTTTAGCAGCTTGCGTCAAGTTGGTTTTGCACCCGAAGTTGCTATAATAGCAACTGGGGAATGTGAAAGGCCCCCCCCCGGGGCAGCATAGACTGCACTCCTTATTGGCCGGTATCACCTTTTTCTCTATAGTGACCGGCCGGTACCGACCAAGGAGAGACTACACTATCCGGTGACCGGTACCTTCCATAGGGATTGTACACTGGTAAGGGTCACTTCTCTGGTGATCTCTAACCGGTATCGGTCCTCAAGAGTCTTGACTCTTGTGTGACCGATACGATTTGAGATTCCTATTCACTTGTTTTGAACCGGTATCGGTCATCAGAGAGGGTAAACTCTAGTGACTGATACCGATTCTTGGGATCGTACATCCACGATGACCGGTGCCGATCTTTGAGAGCGTACATCCTCTAGTGACCGGTACCGGCCCTTGAGTGTACACTTTTGAGTGATCTGGGCATTGGGTGTTGAGTTGTTTTGGGGGAGATGGGGAAAGGTGAGCGGGACAATCACAAGAAAAACATGTGATACTCGCGAGGTTGAGCTGCTATCCAGATGCCAAATTTGGTATCGGGATAGCAGCCGAGAGGTGAGTTGCTAAAAAATTTGAGTGTTTAGCAGCCCCGGTGGAGCTGCTAAATCGAGTTTGCGCTGCTATATTGGGTTTAGCAGCGCGGTTTAGCAGCCGCGGTGGAGATGGTCTGAGGTTCCCTGAGACATGGGGGACTACAAGGGACAAATACTCCAAATCTCACCACTGTTTCACAGAAGGGATGTGACACAAAATCTGTATGTGCATGAGATATATTGGAGCTGTCCATAGGATCTCTCAACATATAAACCCGCAAACTCCAGGCTCTCCTTGTGATCTGAAAAAATCCCCTCCCATAACCTCCCAACACTTCTTCTCAATTAAAAAAAGCTATAGAGCATTAAATTTAGATCTTTTGAACATAAAATCCAGATATGTTTAGCAAAAACCTCTTGAATTTATTCCTTATTCTTGGGATTATCAAAGCATTCCCATTATTATCATTACCTTTCAATCAAGAAGTGACTTGGTCTGGTTTAGGCAGTGAGTACTTTCCTCCTTATAAATTGATTGAACCAAACACTTAAAATTAAATTGATGGGGTACACTTCTTTTTAAATATTTCAAAAATCAGATGGTTCCAGTGGTAAGCATTTTTTTTCTTTCCTATTGAGGCTCACTCAAAAATGGTGTTTGAAACATGCAATCTTCATAACACTGGGGATGTTACCTGTAAAGCAGCCAGTCAGATAGCTCAATCAACTGCCTCTAGGGAAACCCACCCAACTCGTGAGTATAGATATCTTAATGCCTAATTGAAATTCTACTTGTATGATTTGACCAAAGTTATGAGTCCATCCTCAAATGTTATTACACCCCCAATGATTCTTATAATGTGTATTCTGTCTCCAGAAGCTCAGCAGATGGTTAGATCAGGTAGTGAGGAAAGCAAAACTACCTACCAAGCGGACTTAGACAAAGCTATTGCTGGGGAAGAGAGCTGTGGTAAAACAATTGTAACCTTTCTTTGTATTCCCTGCCGCGATGAAAAACTTTTGAATTAATTTGGAGAAGATGAATCCTAAAGATGTATATTGTTGCAATTATGGTATCATGTCCACCCATTTCTACACTCCTTGTTTTTTTTCCACTTCTCTTTCCTTTCTCATGATGATTTAGAAGGTGATTATGGGAATGGATTCTTGCCAGGTAGAAAATGATGTTGAACTTTCTTGACTCACACTTGTAGCCTTGGTTCCAACTTCCCTGTTACAGTTGCTACTATCTTTGACTCAATCTCAGAATCTGGCACTTCCTTTTTCCAATAATTTATCTTGATTGTTCTATTTAATTCTATTAAATAGGGGGTATCAAATATAACGAAATCCACCACTTTTTAATTGACTGGTTTTGAGAAATCCACACTTAGCAAATCCACCTTTGCAGCAACCAAATAACCTACTTCTTTTGTCAGGGCGTATCAAATATAGCATAAATCAACCCATTTTTTTAGCCCAAAATTCCTGAATTTCAAATTTCAAATTCCAACCATCCCCCATCCTCCACGATTCCCTCAATCCTCCACGATTCAATCCCCACTCACCCCACGGCTTCTTCAACATCTCCTATTAACTTGCCCCTGCACATCACTTGTCATCAAACCAAGTCTGATCAATTGATTAGTTCAAGGTATTTATCTTCAACTGAACCAAAGTATATTTTAATGGCCTCACAAATTTTTTTCTTTTTCGACTACATGCACCCAACAGATGCCTCCAAAAAAAGCTTCCAGAATCCCAAACATACGATCACTTCGAACCCCTCCAAAGAAGAAGAGGGCCACTCCAAAAAATACACAATCAAAGAAGAACAATGATGAACTTGGTTCATCCCAAGGTCATCTAAAAATAGAGGACTATGAAATCATCATTGACTGGCTCAGAGACAAGAAAAACTATGTTGCCTGTTTTGGCGATCGGAAGGCTCCTGCGATTGGACGACGACCAAAGGCGATGATAAACGGTTACGAGTTGATGGCAATTTACCTCCGAAATGTTTCTCCAACTAAAATCAATCTTACTCCCCGACAGATGAAAGATTGTTTCAAGTCATACAAGGACAAGTATAAGAAAGCTCATACGAAATCTATGTCAACTGGCTTTGGTCTGACCCCAGCTGATTGGAAGGCTGGAATCACAACAATCGAGGATAAACTTGAAAATATGTGTCCTCTCTACGCTGAAATGGACGAAATCTTTGGTGACCGGCCTGACGTCAATCCGTTGTTTATGGCGGATGCAGAGGATGAAGACAATTCATCTGAATCATCTTCTGAGGACAACAATTCCGATTCCTCAAATGAGATGGATGAGAACGATTCATCTCAAAGTTCTGAGTCCACTGCTATTCACCCTTTGTTGAAGAATGCTAATTCACAAGTCAATATCGTGGCCCTGGAGCAAGAAAACACAGGTGATGTAAGTCAATTGGATTCATTTGTCGTCAGTGGTCTGTTCACTGATTTTGAAAGATATTGCCCCATCAAAAAGAGAACGGAAGCTCCGACTGGGCAAAGTCAAATGGATGAAGAGGCAGGTGTCCAGGCTGGGGAAACAGGTGTAAGTTGCGGGGAGTGATAACCACACTCCACCCCCCTTTGCACACACACTCCCACACTCCCTTTCTGAAGGGAGTGTGGGACCACACTCCAATTGAAATTGGAGTGCGGGTCCGCACTCCAACCCTCTGCGCGGGCATTCCCCCAGCAGGTTGGCGTGTGGACCTGCACGCCAATTGTGATTGGAGTGCGGTCCCACACTCCCCTTCTGAGGGGAGTATGGGAGTGTGCATGTGTATACTTTATACATATGTACATATTCCCTGGGCTATCCCATAGGACCCAGGCCTGGGTCTTATGGGATAGCCCAGGGCTCAAGCCGTTGAGGCCGTTGAAAAAAGAAAAGAAAAAGACCTGGTGCTCCCAGCCCCAAAAGATTGTACAGTCTTGGGGCCAGGAGGGGTTCCTCCTGGCATTGAGATTGTACATGGCTCAAGGCCGAGAGGAATCCCTCTCGGCCTTGAGAATTTGTACAGTCTCAAGGGTCGGAGGAATTCCTCCAACCTTGAGGTAGAGCTCATGTACACCGCCGGGAGGAACCCCTCCCGGCGAGCTAATCTGAACACCCTCTCGTCAGGAGGGATTCCTCCCAACAAGATGGGTTGTACACCCTCTAGTCGGGAGTAATCCCTCCCAACAAGATGGTTCACAGTAGAAATTTTGTGCTGCTCATTAGTCAAGTGGAGCATTCAGAATGAGTGGCAAGCCATGTATTTTGCCTCTGTGACTAATCAGATGCATTTAATGATTTTGTTTCCTTGCTAGGAAGCAGCGATAAACGCCCTCGCACGTCTGAAAGTGCCCAGGCGGCGGCAAGGGAGCAGATAAGGAAGTCGCAGCTCGAAAAAAGTTTTGAAGGCCATCCCTCAAACGTGGATGTTGACTTGGGTGAGCCATCATCATTCAACAGCTACAGCAGTCAAGTCGTGCATTAGGCACAGCGGCAACCGAATTTTACCTTTGTGACCAATAAGAATCTGTATTAATTCAATGATTTTGTTTTCTCACTGCGTACCGGAGATTGCACAGCGGAAAGCAGAGAAAAACACCCTCGCACAAATGAAAATGCTGACGCGCCAAGCAGTTCAACAGATCCTTTGCAATCGGGTAGTCCACCACCTATTACTAGCAAAGCTCGCACCGACCTCCTGACGCGTGTGATGAAGCCATTAGCTCATTGTTGGATGGATCACTCTGAAATTGATCTCAGGAAAAGAGATGCAAGGAAGTTTAAAGAGTTGGAAGAACAACTTGAGGATCTTCTTGTCATCATAATCAATGCTCCAAGAAGCCCTAGTCTTGAACGTTCTTCTATGGACATCGAGAGGGACCTATTGAGACTATCGCTGGAACCTCTTAAACCTTCACCAAAAAAATTTGATCATCTGGCTGGACAGCTCTTTGCAAAAATGTCGGAGATGTGGGATGTGTTAACAGATCCTCAAAGTCTTCGCCCCGGCAAGCTCCCGTTAGCTACAAGAGGGGATGAGGTAGCGGTCCTGTCACATTATGCAATGATGTATTGCTTAAACGATATTTGGGTTGAATTCCTCGCTGTTTCAGCAAAGCACAACTTGCTCAGTGACGGTTGTTTGGAAGGTTATCTGAACAACAAAAACGCAGCGCACGGAGTCTACAATTATATCATGGGTAAATTTGTTCCATGGCAAAGTATTGCATCATTATATCTAAATCTTGACTTGAAGCTCGGCCTTGAAGAGAGTCAATTTGCTCGTGGCGCACGTAGTCTCTGGAAGCGTCAGTCATCTATTTCTTCATTACTTGATTCGGCATCAAAACTGATTCTCCTCTGTTCTATGGCCCCGATAAACATGATCAGACGTTAGTCCCTCGATTTGGCAGACGCTGACACGCTTATATCTGGTCGCCCAATTTAGATCTTTGGCATATGGTGCCACATACCAAACTGAGGAGCTTCTCAGGTTGATAAACCCGTTTGAAATCGTTACATTGGATGAAGATTACAAACGGGTTTATCAACCTGAGAGTACAACCCATCTCGTTGGGAGGAATCCCTCCCGACGAGATGGTTTGTGAACCATCTCGTGCCTATCTCGTTGGGAAGAATCCCTCCCGACGAGAGGGTGTACAACCCATCTTGTTGGGAGGAATCCCTCCCGACAAGAGGGTGTTCAGATTAGCTCGCCGGGAGGGGTTCCTCCCGGCGGTGTGAGCTCTGCCTCAAGGTTGGAGGAATTCCTCCGACCCTTGAGACTGTACAAATTCTCAAGGCCAAGAGGGATTCCTCTTGGCCTTGAGCCATGTACAGTCTCCTCCCAGATGTTTATAGCAATCTGTTTTGAGCTCCAAACTGGGAACCCAAAAATTTCAAGTCACAATAGTTGGTGGAATGGTGGAAAATGAGTCTCAGAGAATGAATATGAAAAAATAATAATCATAATCATGATTATAAAATTCATAAAAAGTAAAAAGGGGAAAATAACAAAAACTGACAGCTCTAATATTCCTTTCAGGAAAAGATGAAATCTCCAAATTGATTGTATGAGATCTGGAATGAATAATAAGAAGTGAAAATTGGGGAAAAAAATGACTACTTGGTTGTTTAAAAAGGGTGCCTAGGGGGTCATTCATCAAGAAACGTGGCATTCTGGTACTGCAATCTACTAATTTTGACTGCAGGGTGTCCGCCCACCATGCTCAAACTTTTTTGGGATCAATATTTTTCATTTATAATCATTCTTTTCATGTTCCAAACTTGCCCTCTGTGTGTTCACTTTTCACTCAAACAAAAAATTAAAGTTTTCAAAAAACATTGATTTTCTTTTATCTTTTTCACAAATTTTAAAATCTTGTTTTCTATTATTATTTTTTCATATTCATTCATTGAAACCTTTTTTCCACCATTCCACAAAATCTTGTGACCTGATGTTTTTGGGTTCCTGCTGTGGAGCTCAAAGCAGATGGCTATAAACATCTGGGAGGAGACTGTACAATCTCAACGCCGGGAGGAACCCCTCCCGGCCCCAAGACTGTACAATCTTTTGGGGCTGGGAGCCCCAGGTCTTTTTCTTCTCTTTTTCTTCTCTTTTTTCAACGGCCTCAACGGCTCAAGCCCTGGGCTATCCCATAAGACCCAGGCCTGGGTCCTATGGGATAGCCCAGGGAATATGTACATATGTATAAAGTATACACATGCACACTCCCATACTCCCCTCAGAAGGGGAGTGTGGGACTGCACTCCAATCACAATTGGCGTGCAGGTCCGCACACCAACCTGCTAGGGGAATGCCCGCGCAGAGGGTTGGAGTGCGGACCCGCACTCCAATTTCAATTGGAGTGTGGGACCACACTCCCTTCAGAAAGGGAGTGTGGGAGTGTGTGTGCAAAGGGGGGTGGAGTGTGGTTATCACTCCCCGTAAGTTGCACTGTTGGGTGATGGCAAAAAAGACTACAACTATATTGACTTTCTTCATCGTTCTTATCCAGGAACCCACTCCATCGGGTGAGACTGTCCAAGATCCAGCTTCAAAGTCTAAGGCCGTGGGGACCCAGGCAAAATCACCAAAGAAGAAGAAGAACAAAAGCAATCGTGTGCAATCTACAAGCAAGGCACCTGCTCTGAGCAATTCTGGTGAAGACGATTCTGAGTACATATCCCCAAGGAAGAAAACGAGTGCGAAGAAGAAGCGCAAAAGAAGGTCTTCAGGATTGAACACTGGTTTGACACCCAAAGAGCTTGCTTTGGACAATCAAACCGATGAGGACTCCTCTGACACCCCAGCTCCAAGTCCAAAAAAAGGAAAGCGCCGAGCCTCAAACTCCAAGAATATCAATCCCAAAAGCCATGGTCGCCCCTCTGCTGTTCCCAACTCTTTTCTGGCCTGCGAAGAATATGTGATGAAAAGAGATGCTGGTCAGTCATCTTACATTCCACTCACTTTTTAACTACCTGGGAAATTAACAATTCTTCCTTTCTCCTTGATTTCTAGGAAAATCTGAGGTCGCTCGGGAGAATCTTGGCTTTGAAAAGCTGAAGTACAACAGGATGATTGAAAAGGAAGATAACGGTCTGAAATTGGAAGATAAAAAATTCGAGCATAGTAAAGAAATGTAAGGTAAACAATGGGATCACTCGATGAAGTTGGACGATAAAAAGTTGGAGATGGAGAAGGAGGAGAAGGCAAAAGATCGAGCTTTTGAGTTGCAAAAACTGGATCGCCAATCAAATGCCGAGGCTCAAGCGAAGAGGATGGAGGTGTTGGTGAAGTGTTTGGACTCTGGGAAATCGATGGAAGACATAGAGAGGATTGAAAAACTTTTCAAATAGCCTCCCGTTCTGATTATCTTGTTGTAGTATGACTTAACTCAACGGTTTCATTGCGTATTGGAAATAAAAGTCCCATCAAGACAAAAAAACAGATGTGATGAATTACTTTTTCACTATGAGTTGACTGAAGTTTTTGAGCGTGGTGAGTGTTAAGTAGTGGGTGATTAATACCAGTCCTGTAAAGAGGAGGTTTCACTCTATCAGTATGGTCTTTACTGAGAGGCTTGCTATCAACAGCGCATCCGGATCAATACAAGGTATTAATAGGCATCCAGGGTACTAAGACTCACCTGGGATTGATTTGGTTATTCCCAAAAGGGAATGGGCTAACAATACTTATTAAGCTTTAACAAAACTATTTGAAGATTAACAGGTATTGTTGATGGGAATATTCAGCAAGGCTATGAATACTGTGGATAAGTTGAGTAAGAGTACTGAAGCTTAAGAACAATAAATGTAGACAAGATTTATGTTGGTTACGTGTACTGTATCAATATAAATGTTAACTGGTTTAACTGGTGTCTGAATATTCTGGGGATTAATCAGTGAAAGAGGCACGGATTATAAGTTCCAGAATATTGAAGGAGGGAAAGAATGAGCGCTCAGAATCAAGGGAGCTTTGGCCAGGAGTATGAGCACATCAATTGAGTGACTGATCATTATTTGTCATGATCTGTAAGTGACATCATAATTGTGTACTAGTTGATCAATGTACTAGTTGCTCTTGATGTGTACTTAACAGATCCTCTAATAATGTAGTCATAATTGTGATCAGTGCATGTATTGAATGTATTAATTCTATTGACACTTAATACTTACTATTTAATACTTGTACATATTTATTTGTAATAGTATTTGACCGTGAAAGTACTGTAGCAGAGGGATAACTTGTGGTACAGGTATTTCACGGACAAGGGAGTGAAAGGTAAGTAATAATTACTTATGTAGAACACAGGTATTTATTTAATAGATAAGTAATTAACAGATAAGATAAATGTAAGATAAATAAGATAAGTTAATAATAATGATAAGATAACAAGAGGTAAAGGTAATCAACATTATGGATAAGTACTTATGTACATAAGTACAGGTGTTGCAGTTACTTGGTACATGAAAGGTACTGTGACATGTACTCTGTGGCTGACAGCCGTATCCGTCCAAATCATCTTCTATTAAGTCCCCTGTGGTTTTGTCAATTGTAAGCCATGTGACAAACTGTTGAAATTCTGTAATCCACAGTGTTCTAAATATCAGCACATCAGGCATGGACTTGGTAGCCTAGTTGGTAAAGGCAGCACTTCTAGTATAGTGTCTTAGCTTCAAGCTAGGGTCGCTGGTTCAAATCCTGCCCAAGTCAATCATTTTATGCTAACTGTCTGCAAAATGCATTGTTAATTTTAACACAAACGTGTATGGCGAGCTATCTCAATCCGTGTGGGGCTTATTTGAGAAATTATTGAAGGTGTATGATAAATGACACGTGAAATCCCCTGGGGCACTGGTGAAAAGAGGTGTTAACCCTGGGGCCCCAATCGTGTTATGTTGCCTTTTGACTTCTTGATAAATAGGTCGGGAGAGGGCCTCGAATTGTTGGCCAATGAAGCAACTAACATCATTGACCTGTGATTGAAGCTCTTCGTATCCTTCAGGGTCTCAGGCTACCTTCTCCGCAATGCCCATGACGCCAATTATCATGTCCTTCTCAAATCCCTTGCGCCAACCAAGACTGAACATTTTTCCCGATAATGCTGGACCGTTGATTTTGTTTGGGTTTTGGAATCTGGTCTGTTGAATCAGGTGGTGGGCGACTTTCTTATATTGAGACTTTGTTTCCTTGTCCATGGTGTTGAATGGCCGGAATTTGACCACGGAGACAATGTTCTTCTGAGCTTCTTCTCTCCAGGCAATCACACTATCTGAGAACATTCAAATCGGAGCCTCCGGTGTGGTAAATAATACTGTGTTTCTACGCAGAAAATATTAAAATTTATTATTATCTCTTTATATATTATATTTAGGGTAAAAGTAACATCAGAAATGGATTTCTCAGGTAAAATTACCCCTAGTCACCCACTACAACTGACCCCATATCTCTCATAGTTTAGAAGTTACACAGATTTCAACCTGTCACAGGATGTCTTTTGGATTCTTTACTCTCAGTGTGGCTTGTTTTGAAAACTGCATGCATATTGAATATTGAATTCCTTTGTGTTGTATTGAATTCCTTTATTGGCACATAGTGCATATTGAATTCCTTTGTAGGTGCACATGCATTCCTTTGTAGTAGGACCTTGTAGGCTAGCCAAAATTCCCTCGGGGCAGTGCTCTCACCAGCCAAATTCCCTCACCTGCATGTACTAGACTAGCTAAAATCCCTCATTGGATCTTCAGGCCAGGTAAAATGCCTCAAAAGCCTGTACCTTGGGGCTAAAATCCCTCACATTTGTCTATATAAGGAGGCCTCTGCCTGCCAGTTGTTCCCTCCATCATCCCACCAGAGGACCAGATCATCTCAACCCACATTACAGATTATATACAAGTGACAGCCATAACAACAAATTATATTGAAATACAACCATAACACTTTCATCATCATAACAAGTGCCAAGTGCCCATAACCTGCCTCACATACCATTACTGGTTGAAGCATAGTGCTCCCAGAGCTCCAAGCCTTGGCTTTAAAGCTTTGAACAACAACTCCAACAATATAATCATCACTCATTTATAAACTCAGACCCTTATAAACATC